ATAGTATTAATATTATTTATTTCAAACACATAAATGATTGAGTAAAATATATGCTGTATAGATTTTGCTTTCATTTCCAGAACTCATAAAAATTTTTCATATTATTGGGCAATGTTTAAACTTTTGAATCTTCATTAGATTTTAAATTTTACACACTATTTTAAGAATAAAAGTTTTGTGTGGAGAGCCACAGCCTCCGCCGCCATTACAAGATGGCGCCGGTATCCGGACCTTCTTAATAGTAAACATCCTGCTGCACCCATAAGGGGCGTGCACAAGAGCCTGCTCTCCCTCGCCTCCTCCCGTGGCGTGATCTCCAGCAACCAATCCGCTTCTTATACGTCATAAATGGGACCTTTAGGGCATATACAAGCAACAGCTCTCCCACTTCTCGGCATCTTCGGTCTTCATCCTTAGTATGCTATGTAAGAGGCTTATGAAATAAACTGCTGCAGAAGGATCCTGACTTGTCCTCCTGCGTCGTTCTTGCCGGCGAGACGGAAAGCAGTCGGGGACACTAGGGTACCAATAAACATATTAGTGAGTTTGTTGATGCATGATGTTACTCTTACTTGACTATCAGCAGCATTTCTCATTATCACTCACCATTCTTTGGAGAGTATTCTTTATATCCTAAGATGAAACATTTTCCCTCTATGTTTTAGTCAGGATTCTCCAAAGAAATAGGATCAGTAGAATTAATGTATATGTATAGAGATTTATCAGCTTAGCTCACAGGATAGAGTCCGAGTAGTCCAACAATGGCTGAACCACACTGGAGAGGCTGACAATCCATAGTAGCTCAGTCCATAAGGCTGGATGTCTCAGTAGTACCAATTAGGTGCCAAAGATCTGACAAATTCCCAAAGATCAGCTAGTTTTCAGTCTACAGCAGCAAGACAAACTCACCAGCGAGAGAGAAGGCAAGCAGCAAGAAGCCAGGCTTTCTCCTCTGCCTTGGCCTTTTATACAGGCTGCCATCAGAAGTTAACACCCACATTTAGGGTGTGTCTTCCAGCTTCAGATGATCTAATCAAGAAGATCTCTCTCATTTCAGTTAATCCCAAATCCAGTCAAGTGGACACCCAGGATTAGCTATCACCAGTCCACCCCTTGTCAAC